CTCCAGCAGACCTATTGGATCCACGAGAAAGCCAAATGTCTTTCCCCTATTGGTTTTTCCAGAATGTTTCATCCTCTAAGCAAGCGTGACTTTCTTGTAGAAAAATAAAATGAGTTTTTGCCTCCTTGCAGAACAAGAAAAATGCGTTTCTTTTTACAATATTTCGCAGACCCCTGGTGTTTATCGAGCTGAAAGTAAGCTCCAGAAATAAAACTTAAGAGAAACTATCACAATATTTCCTAAAGAACGTCAACTGAACAAAACGACTCCTATATTAGGTATTTGACCCTTTCACCTTGTTAAATAAAACATTTTGTGTAACAGATGAATTGCTTTGGAAAACTTTTCAGCATAGAAATAACAATTGAACATATGTGAAGAAACATTTGGGATATACTTGCGTTAAACAGAGTCAAAAACTATTTACTATTATTGACAGGAATATAGATTTATAATAAAACACTGTTGGGAACTCAATCCAAGTATTTCCTAAGAGCTAGGATGTGAAATACAGTCAATCAGGACCAATCCCTACGCAGTTCTTTTTTTTTAATGATTCAGTTCAGTTTTCAGATGACAGGTGGATTTCCTTACCATTTATGAAACCTTTGACTCCCACAAAGTAAGCTTTGCTCCCATCTTTGCGTGCTCTTTCGATGAGGGGCCACAGCGCCGCTCTCTTCTCTTTGTCTTCTTTAATCAAGTCTTCTCCAAAACGAAGCGTTGTTTTTCACAGCTCTCCAGACCTCATCCCTGATGAAGCAAAAGGCGAACAGGATGATGATACTGCGGTTTTAGCCGTTTGCTCGTTTCCCCAGCCTGTGTGCGATGTCGATTCCCTCCGCTGCTTTGGCATCCATTCCTGGCAAAATCTTTTGACTGATGTCCGCCACTCTTTGTTTGATGATCTCGTTATCTTCCTCGGGTAAGCCATAGAGTCGCAGGCTCCATCTCCGCTTGTAGCGTTCAGCATTAATCACCCGCTCCTTCAGTGAAATTATTGCCACCTGATGCTTTTCACATTGCTTCTTCAGGACCTTATTTTCCAATTTTATATCATTTATCTCTTTGTGTGCGAACTCAAGAGAAACTTTCAGTTCCTTGATATCTGCTGCGTTGCTGCTTATCAATGTGCCAGCTCGTCTGCTCTATCGTTTACAGCTTTTAAAATTGTCATCTGTAGTTCATACATAGATGGTTCCGGTAGCCCTCTGTTAAGTCTCTTGGGAGCTGGGCTACTCAATGGAGAGTCATGGAGGGGGGTGGGTTCCATCTCTTTCTCCTGTGAAACTTCATAGTCATGATCGCCGAGCAGTTCATGCCGAGCCTTCGTGTGTGTCCGAATCCACGGGAAGGATGCTTGTAAGAGTGCATTTTGAGGTCGATGACGTCACAGCGCAGCAACGTGTACAGCCTGAATTCCAAGAATACTCATTCTCGCGTCCTCAAATGCGTCCTCGCTCCGCCCACATTTCAAGGACGGGTCTGTTGTATCCTCACAGAGCAAGGCTATCCCAGAATGCTTTGCGCACCGGCTGTGGATTTTCAACAGGAAGAGAAAATGGGGAGAGCTACGAAGTTTTAAACGTACGTTTGTTAAAAACTTGCCGTAGAAACCTAAAAAGCTTAAAGCGGTTCAGTTTATAGACACTTTTCGTTTGTGTATTTGTTTTTTAAATTACATTTTAGGCAGAAATCAGCCAGAACGAGTTTGTTTTGCAGGTCCCAGTTATTCCCATGTGTGTGTGTGTGTGTGTGTGTGTGTGTGTGTGTGTGTGTGTGTGTGTGTGTAGCGAATTAAACTTATTTGTTTTAAGGACAGCAGAGCAAAGAAGCGTTTTTATTAATCTTAGAGGTGAAGAGTGAAGCTGTTTACACACAACCACAGAAGTTCTTCTGTGAAAAGTAGTTTCACATTCACATTTCACACAAGTAAAACGTGTTTGTGTGAAAAATATAATTTTTATCTTTTCATGTGGATAAATGTAAAAATGTGTTTATTGCCTTTTTGTCACCTGTGGTCTCTGATTTTCTCTGTAGGACTGCAGGTGTCCAGGATCAGGAGAGGCTTTACCTGGTGGTCATCCTGGGAGAGAGAAGCCTTCTACTGTCATCATGTTAATGTTATTTAGCTGTTTGATATTTGAACACATTTATTAAAACAAATACTAACTGATAACTCTTTCTGGTCATTAACTTTATCACCAGTTTTATTATTACAGATGTTTTTGAACATGTTACATGAACAGAAAATGAAAAGATGGTAAGGAGACAAGATTATTTATAATACGTTACACTTATTTACAGATCAAAACCAGTATGGACCAGTTGTGTACGGTTAAAGCAGGATTAACCTGAGTGACTCTTCCTGGATCATTTATTTAAACTGAGTGAGCAGGAAGTCTTTAACAGTGCAGCTGGATCTGCTGCAGGAGGATCCAGACGTGGATGGAGGGCTGGAGCAGACCCGTGGCTGGACGTTTCTGGCCAGAGGAACATCATACAGGATGGTCTGCAGAGAGAGCTTTGGGATGCTTCCTCTCACTGTCCACTCCATCGTCCATCTACAGGGACTGCTGGGCTTGCTCAGACGACGGTTGTTACATCTCTGTGAATGACTTGCCTGTTAACAGTAGTGGTGGTCTGCTGGTACCTCCTGCAGGACAGAGCACCACTGACCTCCTCCACACACATCTTCCTCACGCTCATCCTCCAGACCCACAACTTCACCAGCACAGAGGCAGATGTGCAGCACAGTGCATGCTGACCTGTAATAGATTAAAAATGAGGTTTTTTATTGAAAAATGTTAAACAGACATATGACCTGCAGCACACTGGTTCTGTTCAGTTTAAAGAAAAGCAGCAGGGAATAGTTAAATAAAAACTACAGAGAATTTACATTTTTAAGACAGATCTAATCATTATTAGGCTTAAGTTGAATAAACAAATGCACATTGAAAACACTTTTACGCTATTTTATTAAAATGCCTGTTTTTTAAAACGTTTTACCCCCATTTGATGCAAAATAAGAAGTTCTAACGTCCAATTTACATCAGAAAACATCCTGCTGCATTCAACATTTATAATGCATTTGGTTTATATTAATTACCTACATGATAATACTCTGTAGTAATCTGTTGTGTATGTTTAACAAGTTCATTCTGTAGCTTAAAACATACATGAAACCATCTAAAGTTAACATGTAAGTCCTGAAAGCTTCTAGAATAAACAAAGTTACTTTACCTGAAAACGGTTGTGACCAAACGCTGCTGATGGACGTGAAGCTGCTGTAGCTCCTTAATATTCCTGCTCGATTTTCGCTAGCTTTAGCATTTTTCCATTGCGTGCAGCTGCCGCCATGGCTGTGACGGGACCTACGGGTCACCGTAGAGATGAAGGCTAGACTGTCCGAATTCAGAGCCTCTGGGATCCGGTTTTAGCGGTCTAGCAAGGACCCGGCCTTGCTGGACTGGCGAGGACCCGTACTCATAAGCATCCTACCCATGGATACTGACACACCCTTCTTTTCACTTGGGGTTGAGTCCTTTCTCTTTAATTCCAGGTTTTTTTTTTTTGTTGGTGACTCATTTTTTCCTTTGTTGGTTTAGCTTGGCGTATTTCGCTTACAACTCACCCAACAGTTCTCCGCTGTAGTTTTTTTTTTTTCTTCTTCTTTCGACGTATATCCAAGTGTTACCATTTTAAATGTATACCAGGTCTTTAGTTACTATTAAACTAAGGCATTTTGTCGTATTTACGGCTCTTTAAAAGGTTTATAAAGGTTGGGGTCCAATTTTAAACAGGAGATGCTCTAGATTGTTACCGCTTTTGCTGCCATCTTGCCGGACTCCACTCTCTTCTTCTTCTTCTTCTTCGACAGTCTGCAAACTGAAAAAGCTAACTGCTAGCCATTGCATTAGCTACCGGCACAGTAAGCAGCTATTGCTGTAAGGCAGGTAGAGGTCTATAGAGTGCTGTCCCATGTGGAGCTGCTCAAGCTTCTGGCTCATGAACCACTGACACCAGTTTGAACTGGTTCATGAGTGTTAAGACGTCCTTATTTGATCAGATTGTGTGTCGGTCAGCGAGGTGAAGCTAGACTGGAAGCCTTTATGATCTTGTGGAACAAAGATGGAGACTCTATAATGTATTGAACTAACATTTGCACCAGTTTAAAAATGGGAATGAGAGGGAGTTTATGAAGAGAGACCAGCTATACCACCTCAAAGGGACATTTCAGACGTTGTGATGAACCAGTTCCAGGTTGCTGTTTAGTGATCCTGATTTTATAAATTCTGCGGTATTTTCACATGTCAAAGCTGCAGCATAACTCTGTGTAGGGACTAAAAGTCATGTTGGGAACGTTCCTAACAGTGAATCAAGCTAGTTGTGATTTTCTAAAGCAACTATCAGCTCCACTCATCACCACACCAACACATCACCCTTAGCTCAGCCTGTTGGAGACAATTTTCCAGGATTAGTGAGAAGTCCTCCCCTCTTGTATTTCCATGCCTTTAACGTCTCTCTGTTTCCTCGCATTAATGCACTGAAACATGTTAGTGAGCTCTTTTTTCTTCACCACTCTTCCTGTCCCCATTCCATTCTGGTGTTGGTGTAGATTATGGAGACAGTATAGCTGTATTAATGGCACCTCTGGCTTCACGCTGCTCTCTGCTACCTGTCATAGGTCTGCTTCCACATCCCATCATCGCCAGTGCGTCCCACTGACATTGTTAGTCTCATTATTGCAGGCCCAGCCACCTGGCTCAGCTCACAGTCACACATTATCAACCATCCTGCCAGCGTTCCTGAGAGCTCGGCTTTGTGGAGCCGATTTACTGTATATTAGTGTCACACATATGGAGTGGGAGCACTGAGGTGATCATTAGCAGCAGCCTGACACGTGTGTGTGTGTGTGTGTGCGTGCGTGCGTGCGTGCGTGCGTGCGTGTGTGTGTGTGTTTGTGTGTGTGTGTGTGTGTGTGTGTGTGTGTGTTGCAGAACTCCAGTGCAGACCACCGTGTGAGGCTTGACCTGGGCCTGTGGGACAAGTTCAGTGAGCTGGCCACCAAGTGCATTATCAAGATTGTGGAGTTTGCCAAACGAGTGCCTGGCTTCACGATGTTGACCATCGCCGATCAGATCACGCTCCTGAAAGCTGCCTGCCTGGACATCCTGGTGGGTGTCAACTTCTTTTATTGTGAAAGAGTATAATATGTCATTACAAACTGCTCAGATCACAGTGTTTCCACAGGAAACAGAAAGAGCTTTCAGATAAACAACAGTATCTCCCTGATGTACCGTGTGGGAAGCTGTCCAGGGACAAAAATGTAAATTTACACAAAGATATCAAACATTAAAATGATTGAACGGGTCTTTTTGTGTGAAAGTACATTAGGGAAAACGCAGTTCAAATTAAAGCCCAAATAGAAAAATAAAAGGTTCAAATATATGGCGACTGACATCAAGATCTTGAGATTAAAGTCAAGATAATGGGAATAAAACTGAGATTAAAACAACACTTATTAAGTTTCCCGCTTCTCCGCCCTATTGGTTGAAAGCAGAATTACAACTGTTTTAAACAACCCTGCAGCAGCCTGCAGTAGCTAGCGCTAACAACAAGCTAACGCTAACATGAGATAACTGATACTAAATAAGACACGAAGTAAAAAGATCCACAGTGTTGGACAAAAAATATTATTGCTTACAAGTCCCGTAGCAACAAAGCCAGGTCACCATCAGTCCATGGTTTTGTTGCCTCCTTCAGCTCAAACTAGTATAGCTGATGTTCACTCTGGTTTTAGCTCTTTGCTTTGCCTCCAAAGACATTACTCTCTTACTTTTACTTACATGATGCCAACAAAAAAAGATACATTTACTAGCCTTTATACTAGGTCCCAGCACAACAAACAGCTATTGCCTAAAAACGGGTAAAGACCTCCTGCTAGGTGCATTTACACTTAGGTCACCTCGGCCAGGGCCGGGTGGGGACAGCCCGTACCCGCGCAGCCAGGTTGTGTTTACAAAGCCTTCTCAGGAATGTGGGCGTTGGCGAGGATGTGGGCAGATCCACTTAAGTTAGTAAACAAAAGTGGGCATGAACAGTGCTTTGGACACTCAGACATGAAGCACACTGCTTCCTGCTCTCTCACTGAGCAGCTGTGCAGCTGTGGGCTCCTCTCCCATCCAAGAGCGCTCCCAGCACACAGCCAATGCTCATACTGCAGTCAGTTGCTGTTTACCCCACTGCATCCAGATTGATAATGAATCGTGCATGCAGGAAGCCACCGCTGGGGGGTTCTCCCTGCACCAATCAGAGGCTCCCACTAGTGGGTAGGCGTGAGAGTGACACAACTTCAGCCGGGCCAGTCAGTGCATAGGTTGGCAGTTTCTGGTCAGCAGAATGCTGTCAAATGTGAAGTTATTCAAGTTTCCGGCTCAAGAATCACTGAAACCAATTTGAAAGCAACAGCTTAAAGTTTTACAAACTATTTGGTGTTTCAATAACACAATTTTGTGATTTAGGTCAAATGTTGTGAAAAGTGAAAGATGTTTTGTGTTAAAGAGATTAAAATGAAAATATCCAGATTTAAGTAGAATTATTCAAAAAAAAGTCCAAAATGTTTTCATCCACAGCAACAACTTTTACAGAACCCACAGACTTTCCTCCAGGCCTTCACAATAAAAGCCTTGTTCATTCATTTATGTATATTTGAATCCTCATAAAACATCTGAAGCTTACAAAAACACGTTGGCTGGATCCAGATATTCAGTATGAGATAGGCATTATGGGTGATGCACTTTTTAAAGTCTTTTGTTATAAATAATAATTGAGATCTTATTGTTTCAGACTTTTTTTAGAACTTAGTGTTTAGAGTTATTTTATTACAGCAAAGTTTAGTTTAGCTAACTGGAAACTCTTAAGACCTGAAACGCTGATGGAGTTTGTGTAATTTCTTTATTTTCCTGACCACCAGCCAAACTCTTTGGCTCTAGACGAGGCCGCTACCCTCCAGGGAACATTTAGCATTCGTCTCTAATGTTCATTTACACAGGAGCGTGTCTAGTGTGGCTCCCGGTATTCCCATCTCTGTGAGGTGCTGGATTCATCCTGGGTAGTGTAGAGTTAACTACACACTAGAATCAACACTGCTTGCTATCAGTTGTTAGATTCTGAAAATGACCACCCAGTTTCCGGAGACCCCCTTTCGGATCCGAGATGTCAAGTGGAGATGATTTCCTCTGGGCACGAGGATGGTAGAACGACTTCTATGCGACCAAATCAGTCCTGGGTTGTCTCCGTGGGTCACACGACTGATGAACTATTGGCGTCTCAAAGTCCGTAGCTCTGAAGGAGTTTTTCGTCTTAACTCAGAAATCAATAACTCTGGGTAGAGTTTTCGTTAGCTGTTTATAGTTTTGTTTATTCTTAGCTATTCTTGTCGGCATGACAAAACAGCAGGTGGAGGTTTAGGGACGGCCGTTCCCTTCCTCCGTGATGTTGGTTCAAGAACTGACTGAAGCTGGTGATGGTTACAGTTTACCAAGCTCTCAGGACACTCCCATTCTCTCAGCAAGAAAGCTTGGTCATGCGTCAAAAACGTGTTGCAGTTATCGTTTATCTGGACTCTGTGTTAGATGGATAAGGTGGAACTGACCTTCTTTACTGAACACATCTTTTACCGTCATCAACCATAATCATAATTAATCATTATTATACCCAAAGCATAAATTCATTTCATGTAATTAAAATACTTTTATACTGAACCAAGTGATCATTTATGATGATTTTCATAAACAGTAATAAAATCAAATATATTTTATTAATATTATCATTTAATTATTATCATCCTGAACTTGAAGTGTCCTCCTCCTGGGATGGAACAGCAGCAGATAGGTGATATGTTCTTCCAGACATCATGGCTCCTTGATTAATCTGTGGATTTAAATGTACTGTTTGACCCAGCTCGATTCAGCTGGGTAAATGTGACCTTTGCCACAAATTAGAGGACCTTGATGATGCTACAGAAGTGACCAGTTCAGAAGATGACCTTGTGTCTGATTTTCAGCATCTGTCTGGTTGCTTCTGTGTTTTCTGACATGTTCCCTGTTATTAATGTGTAGCAGTGCCTCTGAGCCTATATTTGGGGACACCCTGCTGTTTATGGAGCACAGATGCAGAATGCCTGCAGCAGCCGCTGGCTGAATGTTTGTCATCTAGCAGCTGGTAAGTGAAGCGGTGTACAGTAGTAATGTAGCCTCGGTGATGAGATGGAGAAAAGGCAAACGGCTGTTTCTCTTCCTCCTCTGTCCCTCATCATGCATACTTGGCTGTGAGAGAGGAGACAGATGGGAGGGAGGTCATTTGCGTTTGTTGCTCAGAGCCAGAGGAAGGAAGAGAAAGTACAAAGAAAGTGATGACGTGGTTGTGTTTAATTTGGCGATCCCTAAAGTCTGATGCTGTTAGAAACTGAATAGAGGCCATGTTTGAATCTGCATCAGTTATATTGGTAATGGGGTAAAGCTGTTAGAGCAAGCCACATAATGAAAATGTCTGACTCATTTCTCGAGTGACAGGATCTGATGGTTGCAGAATATGGTACAACACCAGCTTGGGACACGAGCAGACACCCAGTTCTCAGCTGCTACTAGGGGTGTGCCATCTTAGGTACCTCACGAGTAGATTTTGATTCAGGGTCTTGAGATTCGATTATTAAGCGCTTATCACAATTACCACTATTTTTGATGCATTTTTTCACCCTTTAATGTCATAGATTATTCGTACTTTCAAATGAAGTCAGCACACATTCATTCAAGCTACCAAATACCTTTTACTTTGCTATCCTATTCACATACTGAACACATACCCCACGTTTGCATGAAATCTACAAGATGAACACAAATAATTAACATTTAGGTAAGCAGTCAGTTTGGTTTTTGTAAACAGAATCAGCTGAGGCGGCAAACTGGAGCGATGCAGAGATACAGCTTCTGGATGTAGATCTGAAGATTACCTTTTGGAGTGGCTCGTGTAAAAACTTAAAGAGGGTGGCTTCAGTCAGTAAAACAAAGCTATGTTCAAGCTAAAGGGAACTCCGTGACGGCGTGGAGACAGCCCCCACACCCCATTTATACCGCCATGGCATAATCTTTGTGAAAACACATGACTGCACCACATTAATGCCTCAGATGGACCACGTATACAGTACATGACCAAAGGCTCCCTGGTGCCGCCTCAGCTTTGCAGAAAAGCATTGTAGTTTTATGTTAATCCTTCCTCGATTGTTGGCTGGCTAGGAGGAAAAATCATCAGCTTCTTTTCTTCATCTAACCCGGGATGGAGACGTGTAAGGCACTGTCTCGTGTTAGCAGTGTTGCTGTTGTATTTTACTAGAGTTTTACTCAACTTCCCTTTAATCCTGGTGAGGAAATCCTACACGCAGAGGCGGAAACAAGCTGTCGCCATTGTTCTTTTGTTTTATTCTGCTGGTCCATCACCTGAAGTGTCCGGACGGCACGGGGAACTTTACTGTCCCCCCCACACACTTCTAAAGTGAAAATTACTTCCATGATTCATCAGAAAGCAAACTAATATTAGCGTAAATGCAGAGCAGGAAGAGAGCCTGGTGAATGAGGGAACTCCTCGTGCGGAGGTTTTCAGCCCAGATGATTGTGTCTGTAGCGGCTGGTGGACTGAACTACGAGAGCGACAGAGGTGAGGAGTTGAAGGCCGGTTGTGATGACTCTCTGGCTCTCGCTCAGCCATCATCATCTGCTCACCAGAACATTTGATGGTGAAGGACGCAGATATTGTGCACAAGGGCTCGGTGAGGGAGTATCAGCGGCGACATCAAACACCAGGCTGTGTGTGTGTGTGTGTGTGTGTGTGTGTGTGTGTGTGTGTGTGTGTGTGTGTGTGTGGGTGTGGGTGGCCAGCCAGCCAGTGAGAGTCACAGCCAGTGATCATGTTTTATTCTGTTTCATGTTACAGACACGCCTGTCACTCACTGTCAGAGTCGGCCCATTCAGATAGCTTCAAAGGCTCCACGGCCACAGCTCCATTAGCTGTACACACACTCACACACACACATACACACGCATGCACACACACACACGTGCGCGCGCACGCAAAAAAGTTTAATCATTTGTTCTTATAATTAATTCTCTCTTAATCTCTA